GTCTTAGAACTGGGATCCTTGACACCCATAACTTTATAGGAAATGGAAAAATACATTTAATTATACATTAGAATCCTAAGGAAGTGAAGGTATCTATCCATAATAATAAAAATATTTTAGGCCTAGAGCAGTGGTTCTTGACTTGGGGCAACTGTTTCACAAGGGGACATCTGACAATGTCAGGAACATTTTTGGTTGTCATAAGTGAGGGAAGGTGCAACTACAATCTAGTGAGTAGTGTGGGGAGCAACTCGGACTGGACTGAGTTACTGGAATTAAGACTTATTCTATGCATCTGCTCTCCCACAATATGGCGCTGGGAGAGGAGGAAACAGCTTCTACGCAGCTGCCTCTTGCCAACTTGAGTGATGACCTCCAGGAGCTGATCCTGCTCCTGATTGGAGGAGAGCAGCGTACTCGGCGTGTAGGTAGCAGAGCTGGGATTGGCGGAAGAGGACTATAAAGGAGGAGAGAGACAACATGCACCAGGAACATCTAAGGGGAACATTTATCTGAAGGAACACCTGTGCAGCCCCCGAGAGAGCCGGCCGGCGGTGTGCCACTCCCCCGCGGAAGTGGGGAAAGTGGCTAGGGGGAACCGCCCTTCCACGGAGGTGGAAGAGTTGGTAGCCAACCAGGGAAGAACCAGCAGCAAACCCGGGGAGGACCGAGCAGACAAAAGAACAGCACAGGGTCCTGTGTCGTTCCTCCACGAAGACGGGGAGCGACATAATGGTGCCGTGACTCGGATATGAAGCCTAGGCAGGGTTTTGTGTCGTTCCTCCACGAAGAGGGGGAGCGACAAGTAGAAGGCAGGGAAACTGCCAAAGATCCTACAATGCACAGGGCAGCCCCCACAACAAAGGCCCCAGGGAAAATAATATACACAAATTATCCAACCCCTAACATGCAAAAACACATCTAGGGAGAAAGGGAACCACAAAACGCTTTCTCCATTCCTATTCTAACAGTTTTAGGTTAGACACCAAAGCTCTAGCTGACCTTGAAGGGGTGATGTACTCCTTAGGCTTGCAACAGAATCTTTGATCTACAGTTTTTCTCCAAAATATACCATGTACTATCAATTGCTCAGGAAGTCATGATATACACAGAAAACTCTTTCACAAATGCCAGTCTTCAAATCTACTCACAAACAGCATATACCATGAAGTAAAAAAGGGTGAAAATAGAGAAAAACTGAATCAAGGAGAGATAGCTACAAAAATATCAATGAATAGGGTTAACATAATTGCTATATGTGAGTATTAAAGGACTCTGAATTCCCTGGTAGTGAAGGTGTGTGTGGGGGGGTTAAGATTAGTTATATAGTTCCCACTTTAACGGCTCCCTTTGACTTCCTAAGAGTGGCTTATGAAGAGTTTGTGATTTAGAATGAATTACCGAGGGTCACTGATCATCATTTCACTGTTACCTGCTCTATAATCTTGCCCTTGGTACACACATCCCAAGTCTCTGTAACAGTGAGAATATAATTGCAAGTAGATCAAGAGGCTATGTGATGTGCAAAGAAAAATATAAGGTTTGGGGGGACTGATTTTATCATAACTCTATAATTTAAGACTTCTGAGGGCAAGAGTAGTCTCTTAGTCCACAAAGGTCTACAATGCTCCATGTTTGGCAAACATTTCAATATTGAGAGTACAATGTTGGTTAAGACTTCAGCCCAAGACTCAGGTTTGAACCCTTCCTACAAAGAGTCAGCCTTGCTTAAGACATGTATAACAGTAGTATACACAATGTTGTGTGCTCATCAAATCTATTTTTGTCCCTATCCCTGGCATTCAGGTACACTGCATTGCTCAGCCTCATGTGCAATAAGGTGGGCCATGTGAATGAGTTCTAGTCAATGAAACATAGCAAAAAATGATGTAGATTTCTTAGAAGCTTGATCTGCAGAGCCTCCTGAACAACTTTCCTCTCTCTCTCTCTTTTATCTAGACTGAGGGTCACATGCAGATGATTCACTGGAATACTCTGAGCCCTAGAGGAAGATCTACCAAAGCTACCAAAGCAAAAGGGGTCTGGATCTCTGAAAAACTGCATGGAGCAGAGCCTTCCCTCCCCACAGTCAGTTGCCCACTGCTCCCCTTATTGTATTTAGCTAATAAGATTTTGGGATTTTAGAGAAATTGGCTGACCCTGATAAGTGAATATATCCCTTCTTCCAAAATCACAGGTCATAAGTTGCACTTTAGCCCATAATATTGCACTAATATTATTTATACTTTTTACCCTGCCCCTCCTCTATCTTGATAACTGCTCTCCACAGCACTAAGGGCAGGAACTTTCCAGAATCAATACACTGAGCTCTCCCTCTCTGATTCAAATTCCCATTAAAAGTAAACCAAAGTGAAATCAAAACCAGAGGTCCAACTGTTCTCAGGCTTTCTGCCCAATGGCAATCAATCCTTGGATCCAATGGCATGAAGGACCTGGCGCAGAGGCCTGACTACATGTTCATGGTTGGTCTACACGGCATTTTATGGAAGGATTACTACCCCAGTGCTTTGTGTTCTAAGCTATTGACCCATATGTCAATGTCAATGACCAGCCTGGCTGATGAAATCCAGGCAGGTTTGGGCAAAAAGACAATTAGGTTAGATAACAAAAAGGCCAGGCAAGGAAGGATATAAAGAAGAAACATGGAAGGGAGTTTCAAGAGTATGTGGTTGTCATTAGGGTTATGTGTCAGTATCGTAGTTGTCCTCCTTCTAGGAACATGGTAGCAGTGCATTTCCTTGTTCCCTAGAAGTCAAATGATGGTCATATGTGACTTGCTCTGGCCAATGAGCAGAAGTAATCTGTATCATTTTTAAGCAGAGCTCTTTAAGAGCCAAGGCACAGTTTGCTTTGTTTCCTTCCCGTATCACTAAAACTAATTCCAGATGGCAAAGCGTTGTCATTCAGAGTCTCTGGGTGAGAAATGTCATGTGCCAACCTGAGAAGGACATATAGTGTAAGAAATAAACCTTTGATGTTATTCTGTTTTTATTTTATTTGAAAGGCAGAGAAACAGAGCAAAAGTGAGAGACGAGAGAGATAAAGAGACAATCAGAGAAAGAGAGAGACAAAGAGAGATGTTAGATCCTCTGATTAACCCCCAAATGCACAGAACAGCCAAGGGTGGGCCAGGCCAAAGCCAGGAACCCAAAACTCCATGCAGGTTTCTCACATGGGTGGCACAGATCTAAGTACTTGAGCCATCATCTGCCTCCTCCCAGGGTGCACATTAACAGGAAGCTGGATGGGAAGAAAAAGAGCTGGGACTCAGGGCCAGCACTGTGGAATAGTAGGTTAAGTCTCCATCTGCAGTGCTGGCATCCCATATGGGCACCTGTTCCTGTCCCAGCTGCTCCTTTCCAATCCAGTTCCCTGCCTGGGAAGGCAGTGAAAGGTCTTGAGCCATAGCACTCACATGGGATCTCGGAAGAAGCACCTGGTTCCGGGCTTTGGATCAGCTCAGCTCTGGCTGTTGCGGCCATCTCAGGAATGAATCATCAGATGAAGACCTTTCTCTCTGTTTCTCCCTCTCTCTGTCTGTAACTCTGCCTCTCAAATAAATATAAATATTTAAAAAAAAAAGAGCTGGGACTCAAACCAGGCACTCCAATATGAGACGCAGATACCCATTGTGGCAACTTTAATCCCACATCCAAGATCTGCTTACTCCTGTTTGATGTTTCAAGCCCTGAGCTTTGTAAGGTGTTACTGCATCATAATTTAGCAAACTCTGATTGTCACAAGATATGTGATATTTGAAGATGAATGGAATTTGATTCTCAAAATGGGAAAGATGAACTAATGAGTGAACATACTCATAGTTTTTATAGCTCTTCTTAAAAAGATTCATGGATAAGAATGATCCCTTTCTCAAACTGGTACTCACAGAAACTCTAGTAGGTTAAATTAGGTTAATTATGTTAATTTACCTTATTAGCCCATTGTGTCTAGAACAGGAGTTATTCACCAAATCTGACCATGACTTGTTTTTGTAAATGAACTTTTATTGGAACACAGCCATGCCAATTCATTTCCATATTATCTATGGTCATGTTCCCAACAACAATGGACAAGTTGTTGCAACAGAGACCATACAGCTTGTACATGCAAAAATCTGGCTCTTCGCAGAAAAAAAAAATGCCAGTTGCGGGTCTAGAAGAAGCCAAATGAAAACAGATCAGTGGAAGCTCTGGAAAAGATATCAAATATGTACTGCTGCTCAGAGTAAAGAGTATATATTCTTGTTACTATGTAGTCAAAAGGACACACAGATCAAGAGTTGGTACTGGCAGCAGTTTGCTTAGTGCTTCAGGCCTTTTCGGAGACAGGGAGGCAAAAGGGGCCCTAACCGAAGGATTCCCAATGAGCACATTGTCCAAGTTCTGTTGTTTATACCCCCACTTCCCCAGTATCAAGATGGGGACAGGATCTGAACAAAGGATATACACAGTATATGTCAGGATTAGTGAACCTGACAGTCTTCAGGATGACTCAGTGGAAAGTTGCTTAAGTGCTTGCTCAAAATGATTCACTGCCTGGAGAGCCCATGGCAAGTGAGATTCTTAGGCTAAACTGGACAGTACAGTTTGTCCACTTCCCTGAACTCAGCACAGGGCAGGCAGGCAGGCTCAACATGAGGAAGCAGGCTCCTGGAGGGTCTAATGAGGGTCTCGGCCTTCTGGATGTGACCTCTGCTGTGGCCACTGGCTGCCCTCTGGGAGTGGGGGTGTATATGGCGTGGCTGGAATGCTAGGAATCCCAGGCTGGCTTAGCAGGCACTCCAATTGGCGTGGTGCTCTACATGCTCCAAAGACTTTCTCCAGTGTCCTTGGCATCCAATGACTATACTTGGGCTTAAGATTTTTAGGGCTGGGCGAGTTCCTGGAAGCCTTCTATCTCAGTGCCAGATCACTCCTTCGTTAGGTGGTACCAGCAAATGAGCTCGCCAGTCCACAGCAGAGGGGACGCAGGCCATTTGCTCCCTAGCCTCAGCCGGGCTCTTGGCAGGGCTGCCTGATGGAGCCAGCTTCCTGGCTAAAACTCAGTCTTTGGTGGCTGTTAACAGGTTTTGCTTCAATTCAACTATTTCTGAGTTAGCGTTGGTTGGCTCTGGGGTTAGGGGCAAAGGCCTGGAGTGGGAAACAGGAGAAGGAAAATGAAATGATACTTTGCTTGAATCTACAGAGTTGAATTGTCTTCCCACTTTTTGTAGATTCTGAGGTTAGATTGGTTTGGTGTTTTCTCTCACTTGCTAAGGTGAATGGTAAGAAATGGCCCCCCAAGTACTATCTGTGGCATGTTTAGTTCTAGGTTATTGTAAAAAAGGTGGAGAAGGGAGGTAGGTAGGCCTGATGTCCCCATACATCAGAGAATATAAAGAGGCCGAGAGCCAAACGTGTTACAGCTTTTTTCTCAATGTGTCAAGCAATTTCCCAAGGTTCTATAGTCTATATCTAGACTATAGTGGTGTCCACAGAGACCCCATCTGCCTGGGCTATAAGAGAAGGAACACTGAATGACTCAAATCACGCTGAAACAGAAAGTTTTTCTTAACAATACAATATAAAAGAGAATAGGCAACATGAAAGCCTTAGAGAATTAATTCACTCCACAAACATCTGTCCACAGCCTACTTTGTGCCTTGGCACATGAAGAGATAAATATAGACTTGGGATCCAAATTAATTTCCAAATATCACGGGGTGAGTCTCAGTTGTAAGCAGTGAAAAGAGCGGGGAAGAGGATATTTACTCTTTTCAAACTTGCCTGCAAGGGAGCTGTGGTGGAAGCATAGTCCAGGAGGCAAGGAGACCTGGGATCCTGGATCACCTCATTTTACTGATGATCACTGTGGCTTCTGGTAAGTTGCAGTGTCTTTCTCAGTCTTCCTGTTTGGTAAATGTGGGGAGAGAGGGCCAGACAAACCCTCTCTTCTAGTTATTATTTTCTGAAGTTGAAGAATTATAATTCCTGGCCTGATGTTTATGATCTATTTGCAAGACACTGAGCAGATGGATAGAAGGTACAGCATTAAATTCAACACAGCACAGAAGTATCCAATGAATTGGATAGAGATATGCTATACACTATAGTGTCCACTAGTCCCATATGTTTATTGAAATTTAAACTGATCAAGATTAAATACAATTTAAAGTACAGTTCTTTAGTTTCATACCAGTAACATTTCAGATGTCCTACAGCCCCATGTGCTGGTGACTGCCATATCGGAGAGTGCAGAGATAGAATGTTTTTACCATTGCAAAAATTTCTATTGGACAGTGCTAATACAGGCACCACATATGAAAGATATCCAGAGAACAGAGCTTTCCTCCATGCCTTCTAGGACTGAGCTCGTGGTAGCTGTTCAGCTGTGACCAATGCTGAACTTCTGAAACAGTGGGGAACTCTGAGTCTGGTGCAGATTATTGCCTTTAGAGGGAGTTGAGCAGCGCCACACTTTCCCCATTGTCTGTGCTCCTTTGATCTTTCCCCAGGGCCTTTGGGAAAGCCATAGTCATCCAGTCTTCTTGTTAAAAATTCCCTTTTAAGCAGACCTATGAATAATCTCTAGATAATCCAGGAATTCATGCACCTTTTAGAGCTCCCTGGGCTATTTGCCCAAGAGGTATTGTATGCAAAACCCAACAAAGACCAGTTTGACTGATCAATGAAAGTCAGCATTATGTATGTATTAGCTGGAAGAAGCAGGCAGGGCCAGGACTGAGGAAAGCGTCCTTACATGATCCCTCCACAGCACTGTTAATAACATGAAAAAAATCACCCAATGTCATCCCAAAGACAGATTTCAAATCAAAACAAAGCAAATGAAGGAAAGCAAAACAAAAGAACAGCAAGACAAGCACAAGGGCTCCCTAGGGTTTCTCTAGCTTGTGAGATGGGTGGGTGTGGGTGTGAACCTGTGAGAGTGTATGTGAGAGTGTACGTGGGAGTCATGTGTGTTGGCGAAGATGGTGGGGGGGTAGGCAGACATAGAGGCCTTCAGGTTAGGACTCAGAGGAGGAGTCTCAGTTTCTTTTGGTGGGGGAAGAAGAATTTAACTTTTGTCAAACAACTCCATGCCCAATTCCTCTAAAGGGGGGCAGGGAGGACAGTGTCATAACATAGGGAGTGTTAATGGCTGCTATTTTAACAATCTAAACTCCCTGCCCCAGGGCGCCAGTAGAAGCTAAACAGTCTTACTGCAAAGGGTGCAATTTCTAAAAAGCAAATAAATAGCTAAAGGCACACACTGAACTTGTGCCCAACTCAGTGTCAATCAACAAGTTTCCATTGAATGCTGGACAAGCCAACCCCTCTTCCAAAGAGAACACAGAAAACATTGTAAGTTCAGTTTGGGGGCAGTTGGATGATCTTATGTATCCTGTCCTTCCCAGTTTTTTTTCTCCTCCCCTTTTGCTCCTTCATCCCTTCTCCAGCTAAGACTTTTGTTCCCTAATCCAACCCCGCCCAAGTTAATTTCTTTCTAATGCATCTCCCTGACTCTGGCCTTAATGCTGTGGTTCTTCTATTCTGTGTTCCCATATGTGAGGACAGACCTGCTGACCCCAACTTCCAGGGTACTTCAAAAAGTTTGTGGCAAATTAAATTAAAAGAGGGGCCGGTGTGGTGTTGTAGCAGGTTAAGCCACTGCCAGGAACACTGTCAATCCTACCATTTCCGATCCAGTTCCCTGCTGGTGTGCCTGTGGTGGTGGGGGAGGGGCAGCAGGGGTTGGCCCAAGTGCTTGGGACCCTGCACCCACAGGAGAAACCAGGAGGAAGCTTCTGGCTCCAGGGTTTGGTCTGGCCCAGCCCTGGCCATTGCAAATGTTTGGGGAGTAGACCAGCAGATGGAAGATCTCTCTCTCTCTCTCTCTCTCTCTCTAGGTCTTTCCCTCTCTCTCTGTAACTCTACCTTTCAAATAAATAAAAATAAATCTTAAAAAAGAAATTAAAATAGAAGTTCATTTTGGTGCAAAATATTTTGGAAAACCATACACAGGAGGGGGATTCACAAAGTTCATGAAAATGTATATTATGAAAAACAACTATACATGGATTTCAAAAATTTTTTGCACCAAAAATAACTTACCTTTTAAAATTCCATGTTTCCACAGATCTTTTGAAACACTCTTGTATAACAACTTTTCTTCTACCTGACAGGTATTCCAAATGGGAACAGAGAAAGTCGCAAAACGTACATAAAATGATGTTATGGCCCCATTAGGGAACATCTAAATTCTGATAAGCCAGTTTTCTGAAAAACTATGTCATCCCAATGGTTAAGATGTGGCCCAGGCACATATTTGAAACTAGCCTGATACAGGTATTAACCTTAGCGTAAAATCTTCATCTCCACTGTGGCCTGCCTGCTCTCACTTTTTCAGACTGAACTCTGTCCTGCATTGCAAAATAAGAGCAATGGCAGCTTGCATTTATTGAGGGCATGCAATGGGTTGGACATTGTGCTAAGTCCCTCTTATAACTTAATTCAGTTAATCCTTACAACAGTTCTTTGTGGTAGGAACTATTATTGCCCCACTTTGCCTCCTTCTCTCTCTCTCTTTCTCTCTCTCTCTCTCTCTCTCACACACACACACACACACACACACAATCTCACCCGCTCCAACACACTCATGCACACATACGCTCATGTTCACACACACTCACACTGAGTGTGTGTCAACTAAACAAAGCTCCTCGTTCCCAACTCTATAGCATTCAATTCCTCAAGCGCCCCTCCCCAAAGCCTCTGTTATGGACATCTGGGATTCTATCCTTAGTGAACTCTTGTAGTTGAGCATTCACCTTTCTGCTGATGAAGAGCAAAATCCCCTGGAAAGAGTAAGCCAGCCTCATTGCCATCAAATATTAGAGACTATATGAGAGAGAGCTCAGTGGCTGGAGAGAGGCGATGATGGGAGAGACTGCAAGAGAGGAAAAGGAGTGCAAGAATAGTGTCAGGGGCCACTACAAACCAACTTCACCTACTCCCTGCTTTTGCAATGGACTAGCTCTGGCTCTGCAAAATACTATCTTACCATAAGATATACAGAGCTTTGGGACTGACTTTCTGTCAACTTAATCTTTCCTTCTCTCTCCAACATAGACCATGCTTAACTCTAATCAAAGGTCCCACACCTACCTTTGCACACGCCCTACTCATGTCACCCCTCCATCTGGCAAAATCCCATTCATCTGTCAAGATCCAGCTTGAATGTGTACTCTTCTCTAAGGCTTCACCTGGCTCTTGGCTCTTAGAAGGCATCTCTCTCCCCTTTCTGCCTACACAACCTTTACTCTCACTTCTACCAGAGTAACCATCACATGCTCTTCTTTTTATTTTTTATTTTATTTTTTTGCCAGGCAGAGTTAGATAGTGAGAGAGAGAGACAGAGAGACTTATAGACAGTGAGAGACAGAGAGAAAGGTCTTCCTTCTGTTGGTTCACTCCCCTAATGGCTGCTACGGCCAGCGCTGCACTGATCCGAAGCCAGGAGCCGGGTGCTTCCTCCCGGTCTCCCATGCGTGTGCAGGGACCCAAGCACTTGGGCCATCCTCCACTGCCCTCCCGGGCCACAGCAGAGAGCTAGACTGGAAGAGGAGCAACCGGGACTAGGACCCGGCGCCCCAACCGAGATGAGAACCCGAGTGCCAGCGCAGCAGGTGGAGGATTAGCCAAGTGAGCCACGGTGCCGGCCACATTCTGTTCTAATATTCTCATTATGCCTTTCTTTCTGCCTAGGCTGTAAACTCCTTGAGGCAGAGACTCTGAAACCTCAGCATCAGACATGGCACAAAGCCTGTACTCTAAACATCTGTGAAAAGAATGAGTGAATGAATGTGTGAACTCATACCATGAACTTCTGGTTATGAGGAGACCCCTTTCCTGGGATTCTCTGGGTAAGGCTGCTGTCCAGTGTTTCTCAATAGGAGCACCACTGGAATTTTGTGTGGGATATTTCTTCATTGCATGGTGTTCCTACTCACTGTGGAACACTTAACATCTCTAGTTCCTGCCCACTAAATGTCAATGACATTCCCTATCATATCACTGTGATGACCAAAACAGTCCCAAAACCCTGGGAAAAGTCAGCAGGCAGTGGGAGGCAGGGTGGGGGAGCTTATCTTCCCTGATTTGATAGTAGCACTACAGCAACAGCTCTTTTTCTTGATCCTGGTGTTCCTGCAAGAGACGCTGCGTGACAGGCTCCATCCAGAAAGAGAATTCATAAGAAATTAGGGGGTGAAGCAGTCCTGGCTGAATACCAGCAATTAGGGAAACCTAATCAGCATAAAATGTACAAAGCAGAGAATCCTGCTCACTGTTGTACTGACTGAGGAGGTGGGGACATTCAGGCCTAGCCGCCCTTCACATGTTCAAGGCAGTCCAGAGATTTCACCTTGTCTCTGGCACGTTTTCAGCATGACCCTTTTGTCTCTGCCTGCTAAGGGCCTGCTTTGAGAATGGCAGTATTGTTGTGGAGGACACTTGCTCAAGGCACCTCTGAAAATCTCATCAGAGGAAATAATAGAAAGGCAAGACGGAGGTGATGCCTTCAATTTTATGCCTTCTGCCTAACAGTCATTAAATCTGTCACCTGTTTGCTTTAGACAACTCACATTGTTTTCCTTAAGTTGAAAACACACAGTCAGTGACTGATTATGTGGCTGCTTTCACTGTGACCAAGGGGAACAAGCCTCAAAACACCAAGGTTTCAGGCTCTGCCCATACTGCAGATAGGTCCACATGCAATCTGGGGCCCCAGAATTTAAACTCTTTCTTTCCACAGCTACACATTGCCTTGTTTATATACCCCCTTATAGTCTCAGAGCAATTTCCCACTTCACCATTTTTCTTTAATGTCTCATGCCTTGCTATACTTCCTTGGGCCCAACTTTGTTTTGCTGAAGCTCATTCTGTCCATTTAGAGATGGAAGGAAAAAGCTCATCCATGTCCTTTAAGACCGTTTATCTCTCTGAGGCTTGTTGAAATCCCCTCAGTCTTTCTTTCACCAGGCTCACTAATTACAGTTTTCCTTCGCCATTGCCTCATAGGTTTGATGCTCTAATCCTTTAATAATCTTTCTAATAAAACCATACTGAATGGCTCCAGATATGATTTCCCATAGAAAGCAATCTCAGCGGAGGCTCTTTTGGAAATGTATTTCTCTAGATAAAGGGAAACAGAGACACAGCCTGACCCCTTTGCATTCTCCAAAAGCAGATGACAAAAGCTGCTGCTAATCAGCACCTAATGGCTGACAAGCTCTGAAGTTCTCTGGGAACCATTAATAAAGAGTGCTTGTCTTTCACAACCCAGCATTTCACACAGTCATTAATGCTACTTACTGCTTGTCCTGCCTGTCATTGTCAATGACAGTGTGGTCTCTCATCCTATGAAAAAATGTGCTCTGAAAACCAACATTTGCTATATTATTCTAAGACCCCTTGGTTGTATCCTGACTTCACTTCCTCATCTTTGACACCAGACTGTTCTCAAATTTCTTCTCATCTCCTGATTTTTTTTTAAAAAAGAGACATACTACATTGTGGGTGAATTGAAGACATGCTAAGTGAAATAAGCCAGTCACAAAAGGACAAATATTGTACAATTTCATTCATATGAGGTGTCTAGAATAGTCACACTGATAGAAGCAGAAAGTAGAACTGCAGCTCCCAGGGGCTGAGGAGGAGGGGGAAATTTGGAGTTGCTTAATGGGTACAAAGTTTGAGTCTGGGAAAATGAAAAAGTTCTGGAGATTGACTGCAGTACTGGTTGTACAATATGAATGTACATAATATACAGTAAAAATAGTGGAAATGGTTAATTTTATGATATGTACATTTGACCATGAGAAAATAATTTAAAAACTAGAAAGAGAGTTAGAATAAAAAAGAAAGAAGGGAAAAAGGAAGGGGAGTGGACAGAAGGAAAGAAGGAAGGGAGGAAAGGGAGGGAGGGAGAAAGGGAAAGAAGGAAGGAAGGAAGGAAGGAAGGAAGGAAGGCCCATTTTCCTGTCCTTTCCTTCTCAACCTCCATTTTTCTCCTATTAAAATAATAAATGGTTACATCATATAAGAGGTATGATGGTGAATATGGACTTATTTGGCTTTAGATCTCTGAAGAGCTGGTGAATGTGCAGAAATCAAAGCCATATAAATTGGGTAAAGGAAAGAAAATGGAACTTGCAGGGACACTTACCTTGTCTTCATGTTTAAAGGCAAAGAAACAAACAAAAAACCTCCATTCCCAAGTTTGATGTCTTTACCTTCCTTTTCAGTTGAAATAAAATTCACCCCAGTGTCTTCTTCCGCCTACCATAGACAATGTTGATTTAGCCCTTTATAGACCACAGTATATACATGAAAGGTCTTCAGAAAGTTCATGGAAAGTGCATATTATGGAGAGACTATGCACGAATCTCAATTTTGTTGCCACCAAATAAACTTCTGTTAGTTTCATTTTCCTTGAGCTTTTTGAAGTATGCTCATACTTCATAGCCTTTCTTCAATTCTGGGAGAGTAACCCTAGAAAGCACTTTTGAAATAGCTGCACATACACTGCTGAGCCACTTCTCACTCTGGGTCTTAGCATATATGTGGCAAAGACAACAAACAATACATCAGGACATTTCTAAAACAGACTACTTTGATAGCCAAAAATGGAGTCCTGTGAGGAGGCAGGTTTTGGAACAGATTTCAATAACTGACACCCTAAGTCTGCCAGTTTCTAAAATCACTTTCAGGGAATAGCTGACGGTGTAAAAAGCTAAATACAAAAATCATTCTAATAAAGACTGCTATTTATCTTAGTGGCTGCAAATAATCTGGTAAATCTTTTTGGTTATAGTTATTTGTGCATCCAAAACCCTAAAGTGAAACCCTTTGGCTCTAGGCAACAGATAGCAAAGATATTTGGTTACTTCAAGAACATATTGGTTTTAAATTAACAACCTCAAAGTAAAAAACTTGAGAGCTGGCAGCTCATCCTAGAAACCACTTTGTGCTTTGCCACAAATAAAGAACTCGACATTATGGAGAGGCTTGGTGCTCTCAGACATGTGGAGGAGATAAAGCCTGAGTCCATGGGTTCCTCTCTCTCTATGCCCACCCCTTTCAGGTGTCCAGTCAAATGAGGGGCCTCAGGATCTCCTCCGGCCCCAATTCTAACACTTGCCCTCTTTCTCGAGAAGTGGATCCTATTTTGTAGATCCTGTGTTCAGACTAAATTAGAAATGATAATAGGAGTGAAGTTGACACTTTAAAGATGGACGAAAGTCGTCAGGAATCAAAGCCTTAAGTGAAAAAGATGAAACTGTAATAATGACAATTTCAAGTTAAAGCACCACCAAGTAAGTCCTTTGAGTTTTAACATAACTTGGCAGGAAGCAAGAGCAAAGGTGTGCAAAACTGATCTGATGACTGAACGAGTCTTGGAATCCCAGGTCACAGGAAATCAAGGCAATAATCACCTCTTCTACTTACTCAAGTAGAAAGCAGGCCCTGGTTAAGGATTGGCCGTGTAACTAGGATGAAAGCCTGCTAAAGGACATTTTACTAATCCTTTCCTTAAAATACCCTAGATATTTCAAACTAACTTGAAAACAGACTAAGCTGAAAACACTGATTTTATTTCAAACTATGTTGATTGCTTTTCCCTTTGAGAGTTTCATTTGTTTATCAGCAGAAATTCCTGGGCTAATTCCGAGAAATGCCATTCATTTCTCGCCAACAACAAGTCATGAACAATGGGCGGGGTAGAGGAGGAAGCTCCCCACGGAGGGTCCTGCTTTCTGGACATGGGCTCTGAACGGGGAAGATGGCAGATGAGAAAGGCTTGGGGTGAGAGCTTTGGGAAAATAGGAGAGGAGGCCAGATGGCACACTAAGTCCATGTTACTGCTGGGTTGGTCCTGGAAAAATGTCAAACAGGCAAAATGACTTTAGAGGATGCCGATGCTCCCCATTATCAGAAAAACAAAGTTGTCATGCTACCCACAGCCCTGTGCAGATACACAGGGCCCTCTACTCCAAGATCTTACTCAGGACTGCTCTCTATGGGTATAGTTCTTTTGACTTCCTTTCTCAAAATTTCCCCTGAGCCCTATTGCAGTAGTGTAATCCTCAATTCAACTGCATATGAATTCACTGGGATGCTGTTTAAAATGCACAATATCCACTTCGGGGCCCAACTAAATCAGCATTTTTAGAGGAAGGCCTGGGAATCTGCATTTTATCAAATCCCCCAAGGTGATTCTTAAGCACATTAAAGTCTGAGTAGCACTAGTTTGGGGTTTTGTGCTAAAATGGCTCATTGCCCTAATGAATTTATCCAAAGCTTTTGGATACTTCTGGACCCATAGGTCTTTTTTTAAAAAAAGTCAGTGTTTTACATTTGCATATCATCTTGCACAATATAGCTATGGTACTCATTTTACGATAGAGAAAGAATATGCTAATTGTTACTATTTAAAAGAAATTTACCTTTTTCAATAAAATCCAAGAGGCAAGTGAATACATAATTGAGAAAATAATGAAACTCGAGCGGAGAGGTCAATGGAGATCAGATATAGATGGTGGCGACAGCAGCAATCAAGACAGCCACAAGGATGGCAGCAGCAGACGTTCAAAGAGATGAAACAAAAACATGGGGTGGCATTAAAATTGGGAGAAGATTCCTCAATAAGTTCAACATAGAATTACCATGTGACACAGAAATACCACACTTAGGTAAATAAAAAACCTACCCCAAATCATAAACACATGCCACACAAAAGTGTGTACAAAAATGTTCATAGCAGCATGATTTATGAGATTCAAAAGATAGAAAAATCCTAAGCAGTCATCAAATGATAAATGGATAAACAAAATCTGGCACATGCATACAAAGGAATATTAGTTGGTCATAAGAAGGAATGAAGTACTGATACATGGTACAACACAAGAGTGAATGTGGCCACACAAAAAGTCTATGTATGAGTACTGTACAAAATATCCAGATGAGGCTAATCTACAGACAGAAAGTAGATTAGTGATTTCCAGGAGGTGGGAGGAGAGGGTAATGGGGTACAACTGTGTAACAGGTACAGATTTTCTTTTTGAGATGGTGAAAAAAATTCAGGGATTAGATTAGTTAGAATAATTGCACAACACTGTGAATGGTCTTAATGCCACTGAACTGTCTACTTTAAAAATGTAAATTTTATGCTATTGTGTACTTTTACCACAGTAGAGAGTAAGTAAATCCCTCTCTTGAACTTTTGCCATAAAATGAGCAAAAATATGCTTGTCTGTTTGATTACTGTCACACTGGAAGTCACAGGCATATCCAGGGATGTAGCACCCCTTTTTATATAAATGTATGAGATAGGAGAAAAGGGGAACACAACGTGCAGATAGGTCAGTGTTCAAAGACCGAAAATCAGACTCAGAGTGTTTGAGTGACTTTTAATTCTCACTCCAAAGTGTCAAATGTCAAATGTTATTATCTATCTAATCTGATACATTGAGATTCTGCTGTAATATGGATTTATGTAGTGCAAAGTTGTTCATATGGGAATTCTAAATAAGGGAATGAGGTTAGTATAAAATAGAAATTACATTAGTTCAGACATGATTTTTCTAGCAAATTAATATTTCATGCTACCGAGTGACAGAAGCTGAATGCTGAGTACTTGAACTCAACTGAAATCAACAAGCCATGAAGGGATCCAGTACTCCAATCTATTTCTTTTTTTCTTTTTTTAAAAGATACATTTATTTTATTTGAAAGGCAGAGCCACGGAGAGGCAGAGAGAGAAACAGAGAACTCTTCCATCCACTGGTTCACTCCCCAGATGGTGCAATGGCTGGAGCTGTGCTGATCCTAAGCCAGGAGCCAGGAGCTTCTTCCGGGTCTCCTACGTGGGTGCAGGGGCCCAAGGGCTGGACCATCTTATACTGCTTTCCCAGGCCATAGCAGAGAGCTGGATCGAAAGAGGAACAGCCGGGACTCGAACCAGTGCCCATATGCAGGCAGCAGTTTTATCCACTATGCCACAGAGGCGGCCCCCTCCATCCTATTTCCATTCATACAATATTCTTCCTTGTAGCTCAATTTAACCAATACATGTTCTGTATTGTCAGTGCTTAATACATAATTTTCTTTGATCTACCAGCATGTTTATCTTGTATCTGTAATTTAATAGCCTCAATCCTTCCTTAAGCTACTTCCTTCAAGCAAATATCACCATTTTAAAAGGTGAAGTCTCTACTTACTGTAATATTCTTTATTTGCAATGTATGATGTATTTTCAAATTCTGCTAGCATTTAATTAGTGCAGTTGTTTTGTTAGTATTATGATTCCCAAGTTGCCTGATTTTTGAGTGGTTTACACCAATTTTGTTTTTTCCATAAACCCTGATGTTTTCCAGTGTGTAATTTTGCAGAATGTGAGGATTTTCAAAAATGCATATATAGCATTACAGCAGAAATGCCCACATGTGCTAGCTTACTCACAACCCAACTAATGTTGAGAAAGAAATGGCATCGGGTTTTCAGCGTTTTGTGTACAGGAGGACAGATTATAAATGCACCACTGGAAAGGTCATTTCCTTAACCTTCCTTGAATTTTAAAGACTAGGATGAGGGGTGTCTCTATTGGCAAAACCACACTGTCACTATCCCTGTTAAAACCATATTGTGGAGCCAAACTTTTTCACACCTAGCTGAAAGGAAACACTGTGGATTAAGTCTCTGGTAACCAGATCAAATCAGTTATTTTGGCAATTTTATAACAGCTCTTTAATAACACAGGAATGCTGAAATATCTCCAAGGGAACCCAAATATATTAATTCTGAATAGCGAATTCTCTGTGGAATGACCATAAAAAATCTCTTAGATAATATCATGACTTAGGCTTCTGATCACTCTAACAGTCTTTTTGGGGGGATAAAATTATATGCAAAGAACAAAAGGAGGGGCTGGTGCTGTGGCGTAGTGGGTAATAGCCCCAGCCTACAGCACTGGCATCCCATATGGGCACTGATTCCCATCCTGGCTGCTCCACTTCCAATCCAGCTCCCTGCTAATACACCTGAGAAAGCAACAGAGGATAGCCCAAGTACTTCGGCCCCTGCACCCACGGGGGACACCTGGAAGAAGCTCCTAGCTCCTGGCTTCAGATCTGCTCAGCTCTGGCCATTGCAGCCATTTGGGAATGAACTAGCGGATGGAAGACCTCTCTCTCTCTCTCTCTCTCTCTCTCTCTCTCTCCCTCTCTCTGAAACTTTCTTCCAAATAAATAAAATAAATATTTTTTAAAAAGAAGAAAAGGAACGAAGTTGTTGTTTATCTCTCCCTCCTCCCTTTGCCACTTTCATTCTCCCAAAAGAGAAAGTAGAGAATTTCATTCCCACAAATCTCTAATTCTCAGGGACTACATAGAGTGTTATTGAGAGATTAGGATGAACCTAATGACCTTCACAACTCTCATGAAGTCTTGACTATTCCATTAAGAAAGGTCCAGCCTCCATGTACCACCAGCTTCTTTGAACCCAGTAAAGCCTGTGGTATGTGATCAAGATTTAACCTCTGCCATGGAGTTTTGGGCAAATGTTGATGAAAAAAATTTATTTTGCTATTCATGGGTATCAGTGTTGATTTGTTTCTCATAACTCTGAAAAGGGAGTCTGCATGCCCTGATATCCATGGGAAAGAAGTTTAGAAAGCAAGAGCCATGGAAAATACAGATGCAAATGGGAAGGTGTGGCTCCCTTGTCCCTTTTAACGGAAGTTGAGCTTCAAGCATTCAGGTAAGACACTCTCACTATGTTTGTCTCTGCTCAGGTGAACACTTCCCTAAGTCAATACTACTGTAGGATAGTACATAAAACCAATCCCTTGGGTATGAGGGTTGCTTGGTTGTTTGATCTTTTTGATATAGAACTTGTTCTTCATATTGGTTTTATATATTGTATTTTTAAGTTAGGAAATTTTCATCACAATGCCTTCCTCTGGGTTAAGACAGAAAACCAGAGTCCCTTCCTTTGGCCAAACATTTCTGTGGCCCTGAAGGCATGAGTTTCCTCATGCCTAATAACTAGTGGGGTGGAAAGAATACAGAGGAGTCATCACATCCATTGCCCTGTCTCAAAGCTAGACAGTGCCAACTATATCTCAGATGGATAGATACCTTTATATTTCTAGAAATATTCTACAAAATGACAAAAAGTCTCCATAGTCATTTATTCTAGGATTTAATAATCACTCTGTCCCAAAGTTCTTATTTTTATCAAACTCTATTCTTCTCTGTTATGGCATAAATCTGTTTACTCTTGTTTTATCTTAAATATGAAAAATAATGATTAATTACATTCTGGTTCAGTATGGCAAAGATAACACTTGATAAATTTCCTTGTTCTTTTCCAAAAAAAATAAGAGAGATGAAATATGAAACTAGAAAAAAGAAATAAATGAAACTTTGAAACTCCAAAACCATAGTCAGAAACAAAAGGAAATATGTTATTCAATAAAACATAGGAGGCAAGTACAGTAATACTCAGGGGGGCCAAAGACATATGGTCCGTTGTCAGCTGGGACTGGATATGGATAGCTGGTCCACACAGCTGAGGAAGAGCTACAACCTGAAAATGGCTTCCTGTGTGAAGCTGAGGCCTAGAATCACACTCCTCACATGAAGAGATGCTGATACAGCTGTGCCTATCCAAGGTTGTTGACTAAGATGCACTGATGGCCCAAGGTAGGCAGTTGTAACTGAGATCCCAAAGATCATTACCAGAGACCAGCACTGCATAAGAAAACAGAGGTAGAAATAGATGTTCCAAGCCTGAGGAGCACAAGCTGAGATACTAATATACGACTGTCCTAAGTTTGAGCTAAGTGAATCACAACCATCTACAAAATAACCATCTGAAACAACCATCTACAAAGAAGAAGGGCTCCTGCCAGATAAAACACTCATGGGAGATTTAGAACTAAACAAACCGTGAAGATTTAGAACTAAGAAAATCTCAAGAAACACAACAAAACAGGCAGAAATTTGACATTGTGGGTAAGATGCTACTTGGGACGCATGTATCCCACATCCATGTGCCTGGGTTTGAGTCCTGGCTCTGCTCTTGTCTCCAGCTTCCTGCTAATGCACACACCTTTGCAGGCAGCAGGTGACAGCTCAAGTGGTTGGGTCCCTGCCACTTATGTAGGAGACCTATATGTAGTTCTCAGCTCCTGGTTTTGGCGTGGCCCATTTCTGGCTGTTGTGGGCATTTGGAAGTGAACCAGCAGATGGAAGCTCTCTCTGATTTCCCGTCTCTCTCTGCCTTTCAAGTAAATAAAATAAACAGATAAAAATTTTTAAAAGAAACTCAACAAAGATGGTAATAAACACTTGAAAAATAAGTATATTTAAGCAACCCAAAACAGAACTTAAGTAAATTTTTAATGCTTTAAAGAAATAAAAAGATAATAATATCCCAAGAAATAACAGATTATAAAATATTTTTAAAATAACAAGAAACTTGAAAGAAAATACACTTATTGAAAATAAAACAAAACTCAATAGATGACCTAAATGATATGTATGAAAAGTATTAATGGTGGCATACCAAGTTAAATTGCCACCTGTGACGCTGGCATCCCATATGGGTGCTGCAGCCCCAGCTGTTCCACTTTCAATCCAGCTCCCAGCTAACATGCCTGAGAAAGCAGCAGAAGATGGCCCAAGTGCTTGGGTCCCTTCCAACCATGTGGGAGACCAGGATGCAGCTCCTGGCTCCTGGTTTCAGCCTGGCCCTGCCTCAGTTTCTGCAGCCATTGGGGAGTGAACCAGCAGATGGAAGATCTCTCTCTCTCTCTGCGTGTGTGTGTGTGTGTGTGTGTCTGGCTCTCTGGTTCTCCTTACCTCTCTTTAACTCTGCCTTTCAAATAAAATAAATAAATCCTTTAAAAGAATTAATGAATTGGAGATTAGAGCTGAAGTAATATATATCATTATGGATAGCATATCAATATGAAAAAAATAAAAGACATAGATGATGAATCAAATGGGAGACAAATTGGCAAATGAGGGAAAAAAAGGGGAAGAGATAATTTTCACAAAATATTTGAGTACTTTATTTGAAAAATCATGTGCTGAGTTGACTCAAGAAAAATAAATCACAAATCTACATGTCTCATTGAATGCATCAAAGAAAAGATAAAATTAAAAAGCTAGAAGAAAGAGGGAAGAAAAGAACTACAATGAAACAGCAGATTTGGGCTCCTACCACCCATGTAAGAGACCCGGATGAAGCTTCTGGCTCCTGGCTTCAGCCTGACCCAGTCCTGGCTATTGTAGTCATCTGGGGAGTAAACCAGCAAATGGAAGATATTTTCTCTTCCTCTCTCTCTCTCTCTCTCTCTCTCTCTGTCTCTTTGTCTCTGTTTCACCCACTCTGTCTAACTCTTATTTTCAAATAAATCTTTAAAAAGGAATGACAAAATAAAGACATTTTTGTATATAAGAATTAGGGAACTTTAGTACTATTCCCTACACAAAGAACTGTTGAAGGTTACAGTTAATAAGAAAAATGAACTCACAGTGAGCTGGAAGAGCAGGAGGAAGGAAAAAAGAATACCTTGTTTCTATGCTTCATAAAATGAACATTTTTAAGTCTTAAAGACAATGGTGTTTATTCCTTTCCATTGTTTCTCCTCTGGGATTTATGACCTCATTTCTTTCAACATGTTCTTTCTCTCAAACTGTGAGCTTATACTTTCCCTTTTTCTCATGCTTCCTGTTACACAGCTGGGGAAGTGGACAGCCATATTCCACTGTGTTCTTTAGTCCCAGATTCTGAGTGGGAGTCACACTCCAACCTTCTTCCCAGGGATAAACAATCTGCATGTAGTACTTTAGATAAGTTCTTATCCCATCAGATCACTTTTGGAGGCTTTTGGGAAAGAAAGCCTTCATGAGACTATTTGACAGGTTACCTAACAGTTTTTAAAGAGCTCTTCAGTTTATCAGAAACATTTCTCCTACTTATCAGAGCTCCTCCTATACTATGCCATTATAAATTCCAGTTTATATCGAAGAATCTAATAACTACACACAAAACCAATGAGTCTTACTTAAGGATTTATTTCCAAAATCAATTTTCGAGTTGGTCAAATGTCCAGTCAGTCTCTCAACTCTTGAAGCACATGCTACCAACATGCAGAATGATACATCTGTGACATAGCATAAACTTTGTCATCTGAAAAGGAATTCCCTGTGTTCATTCGGGAATGTTTAGGATACAAACATAGGTGAATAAAAGCTTTGGAAATTTATTCTCCATTAAACAAAAACGTACACTCTTGTAACATTTTGGTGTACTGAGTTTTTATTGATCCTCATTCCCAGCCCCATTCCTTCCATTTTTTCCCCAGATGCTTTTGGCTTGTCTCTTATAAGTTCTGGAGATTCTCCAGTACTTCAAACAGCACCCTCTATGCCCTAGTGTAGTGGTTCCTTACGTTTGGGGAATCATCCCGTTGGTAGTAACAATAAAGCTATGGATCCTCTCTACAGGCATTTACTTATAAGAGAGCACTTTACAAAGATTTTGGAAAATGGAATTAAAAGATAAGTTTATTTTGGTGCAGAGTTTTTGAAATACATACACACTTTTTCATAGTATGCATTTTCTATGAACTTTCTGAAGACCCTTCATATATACAATTATACCAAAAACTGTAAGCGAAGTTAAAGGATTCTCTGATCACCTAAAATCCACCCAGGAACCCCAGCTTAAAAATCTCTGTCTTAGAGAAAACAGAATCAACTTACAGGGTGACAAGACTTCTAATCCACAGATTCCAAGACCATAATGTCGCTTTTCCATGTCTACTGCTGGACCCACAGGCAGTCTCTGAATCATTCTGCACTTACATGCCTTCAGGCCCCAGTCAGATGCGAACTAAGTATTACTGGGGGAGTCCTTGCCTAGACAAACACCTTAGCTGCAAATTATGAATGTAGAAGTCCTAACAGCTTTATGAAAAAGTCTCTGACTGGCTTCCCCTAGGAGTTTGTCTTAACCATGTGCATGTAGTCACTGTGCATTCTGGGGAAGTTGGCTATTCAGTATGCACACAGCTTTGTACTGTCATAAACCTCACTGGTTCAGCTCCTTATATTCATGAACAGCCCCCCATCATTTAGAAGCCATGCTTGGATGGAATTCCTGCCCTAGTTGTATAGGACACGTGCTGCTATGTGCAACTCCCTCAGTGCCCTCTGCCTATGGCAGAAAAACTTTTGGGCCACAATTCCCTTCCCCCAATTGACATCAACCTTTAAATGATTAAAAGCCCACCGAAGATCTGTTGCTGGGGAACTAGTACTTTACTAGAGCCTAGAATATGGCTTGTTTGGGCTATGAACAGCATTTAGGGGCCAGTTTGGGCTGCCTAAAAGTGTCCTATTGTTATTTCTTTCAAGTTTTCCAGCTTTCCTTCTGGGGAATTAAGGAGATGGACTGGAATGGGTTAGGCGAAAGAAGAACCTAAAAGAAGCTGTAGAAAAAGAGACAAATTGGTTTACCTGGGCAGCGAGGACAGCACAGATGAGGAATATGCACAGGAGAGAGGCAATGGAGGTTTGGACATCTAACTCGGCTGCAAAGCACATTCCCATTCTGAAAGAGAAAAGACAGCAAGATAAAATAAATGTCTTTCAAAGGTCTCTGGGATCATGCCAGTTTGGGAAAGAGTCATGCAGGGACTCACCCAGTGAATAACGCATTCCCAAGAAGCTGAACACAATCAGCATTTTTCTTTCCTTTTCTCATCGCTAGCACCTCTGCTGGGCTGGATGATAGCTTACTGGCCCATTTTTCGAAGACTGGGATCACTGCTGCTCCAGGTTTCAAAGCCTCCCACTTGTGGGAAGCTTCCTCTGGCCTGGCTCTGTGGCATTTCTCCCCTTCCCCAGCTCTAGCTATGTGTCTTCCAAGAGCCTACTCTGATTTCATAATCACCTGCCTAATGCCATGGAAGGGAAAGGATAATGAGCAATGGGCCCCCCTGAGCTGCTATCCAATCCTGTGCAAAAGGCATCCTAGCACATGTATGCTGGATTTATATAACTCTATCTTGGTCCCGTAGGCTAAGTGACTCCTCTCCTTATTTCCCTTTTTAGCCAAAATTTTTTCTGAGAAATAGTTAGACTTTGGAATTGAGCTGATTAGCTCGTATGCCTGGGTGGGGCAACTGGGTCCCTGCCTGATTTACAATTACAAGATTCCTAGCTCTGACAGCTCTGAACCATTACTAGAACAAAGGAAGACTTTGGGAATCAATTTTACATTTACATTTTCCATCCATAATTCATTTGAAGCAAGGATTCCTTATATGTGTCAGGCTGTTGTGGGAGAAGAGAGTGGTGAAAAGGATGGAGAAAGATGGCCAGTGCTTGAGCTATTGGCACTGGGATCATATTAACATTTTCAATGCCCTGCAGACATCAAAGCCTCGGCCCCCAAGGGTTAGTTGTCCATCCCCAATGTGTTGGGCCAAGAATCCGACAAAATCATGCCATACCAGGCAGTTAATCAGTCCCCAGATGCTCTATTTAATACATGCCCTAGCCATTTAAAGGGACAGGCTTCTTTTTTCCAAATCAGAATCACTATACAAAAACCCCTTTTTTTCTTTTCTCTGTGTTTTAGAGAATATATTTTTGGAGTGTTGCATTTGGGAAAACCACAGAGGCTCCTCATAGATTACACTCTTCACACCAGGTAGTATCATCCTGAAGTGCGATCACTGGAGCATATCAGAGCCTACGCTTCCTGGTTGAAGTATAAACTGAAACCATATTGCTGAATAAGGCTGTTGGCCCTCCATGTTGCAGGTTATACCTGTGCAAATTCAACAAGCCATAGACTAAAATTATATTTTTAAAAAAATTCTCTGTACTGAACATGTAAAAATAATTTTTGCTTGCCATTATCCCCTAAACAACACTGTATAACAACAGTTTACATAGTATTTACATTGCATTAGGCACTGTAAGTCATCAAGAGATGATTTAAAGTACTTAGAAGGGCGTACACAGGCTATTTGCAAATACCATGGTGGTTGATGTAAAGGACTTAGCATATGCAGATTTTGGTATCCAATTGGGGTCTTGGAAACAGTCCCCCATGGATATCAGGGGTCACTCTACTGAATTCTATTGAAGATAAAATAATTTAATAATAATAATGGTGATGATGATGATGACAATGACAATAATAGTAGCTCATATTTCCTGAATATTTAGCAACAACAATCACTGTTTTAAGTGATTTAAATGGATAAGTGAATTTAATCCTTACCACAATATTATGAACTATGAAATAATGATCCCATTTTTAAAGAAGAGGAAACTGAAAGAACCTTGGAGAGGTGAGGTAACTTGTCCAATGTAATATGGCTCACAGGTGGCTGAGCCAGGGCTGAAATCTTGGTCTATGTTAATTCCAGACCCTCATGACCTCTCCACATGATCTCTAATATTACCTGAAGCTTATATTTCCACATGTTCAACATTCTGAAAACCCCAAATTCTCTTCAAACTGCTAAAGGATCTGGCACGTAAGTAATTGTTCCTGCTCTAGCTGGGCATGAGGGAAGTTACAGTTCTTACACAAGATCTCAAGTAACAGACTGATATTGAACATTTCATATGTTCAGAATTCTAAATCCTCAAGGCCAAGGAGAAGGTCCCCCTTCCCAATTGACCTACTGCAGTGGTTCTCCACCGTGGATGATTTTGCTCCTTAGGCAACTTGGCCATCTCTGGAGATATGTTTTGGTTACCACTGCGGGTGGTACTACTGCCGTACAGTGGGAGGAGGTCAGGGATGCTGCTAAACATCCTACAATGTACATGACAGCCTTCCTCCACAAGGAATTATACATCCCCAAGTTTCAATAGTGCTGAAGTTGAGAACCCTGCCCATCAAAAACATGAATTATTGCTGTGCTCCTTGGTCGGGTCACAGAAAGAAGATGGAATTACCTGCTTTATCTATTGCAAAGATAGGATATATGTTGTCCAAAAGCCTCTTTGCATGACTGGATGGGAGCCAAAACCCAATCAAGAGAACTAATCCTCACCAGGTACAGGTCAAAGTTTCACAACCTCAGTCTTAATTACAGCTGTTGATTGAGACATCATAAAATGCACTCTCCCAACAAACCAATTTATAATCTTCCCTAATACGCTCTCTGAAGGACAGCCTAGAAAAATAGTTTGCAGAAACAGTTTGTCTTACATTCCAGACACTACACTGAGCTTTCTCCCTATTCCTACTATCAAGCTCTTCTGCCTCTCCAACCTTGTCCTATATCACTGGGCAAAGAGAACATGGGTATATGTTCATAAAAAATTTTCAGATATCCCGTAAAGATCAAGTCAAAAAGCAATAGAGGCAAATAAATTTAAAAAAAAAAAAAAGAAAAGCAATAGGAGAAAAAGGACAGGAGATGTTTATTTTTCTTTGCAATTTGCATCTTAATTTCTTTTAGGTTTTTGATCACCCACATTTCCTCATCATTTGGGCACTGAAAGCCTCTCTTCTCGCTGAGGAGCAAATTGGAAAAACACATGCCACGAGAGATTGTACCTCTGAGCAGATGCAATTGACGCAGTAAACCAACCCATAAGGTTCCAGGTAAGGATGCCATCTCTCACCCACTCTGTACTTTTTGTCTTGAAACACACAATATGTCTCTGAATCTGTGGGATAGAGGTAGATATGCCTGTTAGAAACATAGACAACACTGCAAAATCCAAAGGCCATCACAGGTTCTATTCATTCTCGCATACAACAAAATCAAAGGCTTGGCAGATTCCCTACTATGGGTACTGCGTTTTACATTCTTTGCTCACTGGACCCTCGCAATGACACATAAGATGGTTACTTTTAGTCTTATTTTATAGATGAGGAAGATCAAGGCTCATTTAACTAGTAAGTAGCTGAGGTAGGACTCAATCTAGGTTTGTCTGACAGTGCAGACCAGAATTCATATTGCTACTCTGTTGTAATAGCAAGATAAAGGAGCATACTCTGTGCTCTTCATTTTGGAAAAAGCTATGCTCACTTTCTTTGGAAATGCAAACTAATGTCTTTAGTGTGGCTGTGTCAAAACATTTTCAGAGCTGCTTGGTGTTAGTGTAGGAGCAACAGACTACATGGCATTATGTTAGGTCTCTAATCATGGCATTGCCTACACATACTAATTTCAATTATTACATATGTATTTAAGCACTTACCACTGGTCAGGCACTATGCTAAGTTCTGAGGATAAAATTTGGAGTAAAGAATTTTAAACACAATCCCTGCACCTATTCAACTTACAGATTTCCTCTTGCAAGGACAACACCAAATTAACTCAAACTTATCACTCGCTTTTGCTGGAATAGAAATTTCATTAGTGACAACTTATTTTGTACTGGTGTACAAATCACATTAATTGTCTTATTGTATATATCTTATTTCTCCTCAAAAGTAGATAACATTTACTCTTTACTGTCTCATCACATGACCTAGCACAGTGTGAACAATAAAGGTACGCAATTGACAAACAATTGGTAAATTGAGTTGCTAAATAAAATGCTTCATCTTCTAATCTCATTCTCCAATTTTTATCATACAATGTAAAAATGAACCAATATTCCTCTCATAGCAAACATATTAATTTTCCTCACTCCAGTACATGTTTCCTCAATGGTACAATCAATATCAAAAGAATAGAGAAAAGAAATAAATAGGAAACTATGAGAAACTAACAAAAAAAGTATTAGTATTAGTACTAGGACATTTTTATTCATTCAAATTAGTAAGTAAAGGACCAACCAATTCAATAGAAAAAGGAACTAAGGACATGAAGAGATCATTCAAAGAAGAAATGGCAATAGGGAATAAATGGGAAAAGATGTTCAACTTCATTAGTAGTCAGAGATTCCAATTAAAATTACACTGAGGTAAATGCCTGTTGTCACATTGCTTCAAAGATTCTCTATGAATCTTTCCAACTACTCACAAAATGAAGTGCAACTTACATTTCAAATCATTATTTCCAACTTCTTCAGAACAATGAATTTGGAGACAGAAAATCTGGGTTTGAGTCCTAACTAGCTCTAGCTGTGTAACATTGAGCAAGTCTTTTAAATTCTGTCAACCTTGCCTTTCAACATCTGTGAAATATGGATTATGTTTCTCAAGCAGATGGTGGAGGATTAAATGAAGCTCTTTGTAAATTTTAAAAGGCTATAAAATGTAGGGTGTTTATTAGTTCACTTTTTGTATTCAAGAAGGTAATGCATGCTTAATGCAGAAAATTTGAAAATGTACACAAAAAGAACAATAAAAATATAAGCAAAAAACATTACAGATAACCCAAGCATAAGAATTCCACTTTTAACATGCTGATCTCATATATATAGACCATGGGTTAAAGTGAAAATAAAAAAACGATATTAGGTGTGGGTGTTTGGCTCAGACATTAAGACAGTACTTGGAATGCCTGCATCCCATATCAAAGTGCTTGAGTTTGAGTCCTGAAACACTTCTAATTCCTGATTCCTGCAAAGTCACACCCTGGGAGGCAAGAGGTGATGTGATGGCTCAAGTACTTGAATCACCATCCCTCACTTGAGAGATCCAGACTGAATTCCAGGGTCCTGGACCTGACCCAGCCCGAGATATTCTGGGCAATTGAGAAGTGTTTTGACAAATGTATAATGACATATATCCACTATTATAGTATCATACAAAATAAACTCACAACCTTAAATATATTCTGTGTTCTGCCCCTCAAATAAAATGTAAAAAATAAAATTTTAAAAAGAGAAGTTAGAAATATTTTTTACTGAACAAAAATGAAAACATCAAATTGGTGAGATTTTACTTAAGAAATAGAGATAAATATACATTACTAAATATCTAGATTAAAAAGGACACAAGTCTCTAATCAACACTTTAGGAAATCAGGCCAAGTAAAGTACAATAAAAGAAAAAAGAAGTGAAGAATAAGGAAGAGCAGAACTTGATGGAATTGAAGATAGAAATCAATAGAAAAAAATCAATGAAATAAAAACTTGGTTCTTCAGGAAGGTCAATAATATTAATAACTCCCCAGCAAGACTAACAAAGATAAATAGAGAAAAGATGCAAGTTGCCAATATTTGGGACTAAAGAGGGGACTTCATACATGGTCTACTGACATTAAAAGAATAAAAAGGGAATATTATAAATAACTTGATACCAGTTTAACAAACTAGATGAAATGGATTAAGTCTTTGAAAGTCACAAATCACCAAAGGTCACTCAAGAAGAGATGGATAACCTGAATAATTTTATATCTTTAAAGAATTTGAATTTTCATTGAAAACTTCCTCATACAGAAAATTCCAGTGCTACATGGCTTCACTAGTGAATTCTATCAAACATTCTATTATACCCTTCCAAAATACTAAACAGGGTGGAATGCTTCTCAATCTTTGTATCTTTTTTTTTAATTTTTTTTAACTTTTATTTAATGAATATAAATTTCCAAAGTACGATTTATGGATTACAATGGCTTCCCCCCCCATACCGTCCTTCCCACCCACAACCCTCCCCTTTCCCACTCCCTCTCCCCTTCCATTCACATCAAGATTCATTTTCGATTATCTTAATATACAGAAGATCAGCTTAGTATACATTAAGTATGGATTTCAACAGTTTGCTCCCACACAGAAACATAAAGTGAAAAATAATAGATGATTTTTTAAATGATGATGAAATCAGAGCAGACCTATTGTCATGTTTAATCCCAGTGAGAGTCAAGTTGGGAATTGATAATTCCTTTTTTTTTTTTTTTACAGAGGATCAGTTTAGTATGCATTAAGTAAGGATTTCAACAGTTTGCACCCCCATAGAAACACAAAGTGAAATATATTGTTTGAGTACTTGTTATAGCATTAAATCTCAATGTACAGCACATTAAGGATAGAGATCCTACATGAGGAGTAAGTGCACAGTGACTCCTGTTGTTGACTTTACCAATTGACACTCCTGTCTATGGCATCAGTAATCTCCCTATGCTCCAGTCATGAGTTTCCAAGGCTATGGAAGCCCTCTGAGTTCTCCGACTCTTGTTTAGACAAGGTCATAGTCAAAGTGGAGGTTCTCTCCTCCCTTCAGAGAAAGGTACCTCCTTCTTTGATGACCTGTTCTTTCCACTGGGATCTCACTCACAGAGATCTTTTGCCAGAGTGTCTTGGCTTTCCATGCCTGAAATACTCTCATGGGCTTTTCAGCCAGATCCAAATGCCTCTAGGGCTGATTCTGAGGCCAGAGTGCTATTTAGGACATCTGCCATTCTATGAGTCTGCTGAGTATCTCACTTCCCATGTTGGATCACTCTCCCCTTTATTTACTCCATCGGTTAGCGTTAGCAGGTACTAGACTTGTCTATGTGCTCCCTTTGACTCCCAGTCCCTCCACCATGACCAACTGTGAACTGAGATTGATCACCTGGAACAGGTATCTTTGATACAAGCATTACACTGAAACCAAAACCACAAGAAAATAAGCTACAGATCAATATCCCTGATGAAAAATAGATGCAAAAATTCAATAGAATTTCAGCAAAATTAAGTCCAATAAGGTATAAAAAGGATAACAACTCTATGAACAAGTGAGGATTATCCTAAAAATTCAATGTTATTTCAATATTTACAATTTAGTTAATGTACTTCACCATATCAACAAACTGGACAATAAAAACTCTGTACTTATTATAATAGATGTAGAAAAGCATGTGGCAGGATTCTATACCTATTCATGACAGAAATTATCGGCCAGAGGGAAAGAGGGGGAGAGGACTTCCTCAACCTGATAACAGTCAGTTACCAAAAAAAAAAAAAAAAAAAGACAAAAAAATCCTATATATAACATCACACTTAATGGATGAAATCTAAATGCTTTCCCCAAAAGTCTTCTCCATCACTCCTGGAAATCTTAGCCAGGGAAATCACGTAAGAAAAGAAATAAAAGGCTTACATATTAAAAGTAAAAAATAAAACTTTCTGTTTACATGTGGCCTGGTTTTCTATACAGAATATCTCAAACCATCTACTAAAAATTACTAACAGAATTTAGCAAGATCACAGATTACCAGTCTGGTATTTAAAAACTAATCACATTTATACATTCTATAATGAACAATTAGAAATTGTACCATTTGCAATGGTTCCCATAACAATTAAGATAAACTGGACAAAAACATGTCAGAGAGCTAGAAAATTCTGATGCAATAAATCAATAAAAAGGAGAGGGACACTTTATTTAGGATTGAAAGACACAGTATTGTTAAAATGTCAATTTTACTTAAAGTGATTTATAGATTCCATGCAATTCAATTCCAAAAAGCAACAGGATGTTTTGCAAAAACTGGTAATCTAATAGAAATTTATATTAAAAAGCACAGGAAATGGTATAGCCAAAATGGTTGAAGAAATAGTTTGAAACAATATAAAACTACAATAATCAACAAACTGTGGTGCTGGCAAAAGGTTAGACAGATAGATCAATGGAATATAAAAGTGAAAAATTACAGCTGTACATATGTGGTCAATTCATTTTCAAAAAAGGTGAAAGGTAATTCAATAGAGAAAGGAAATATTTTCAACTAATTCTGCTGAAATGCATGTATAGGCACATGCAAAATATATAATAAAATGAATCTTAA